TTTTTTGTTTTTTAATTAAAAAATTTTTTTTCCTCTGAAATTGTAGGAAATGACGTTAAAATATATTTTAGAAAGCTAAAAAAGCTTTTTGGAAAAAAAAATTTTTTTTACGAAATGGGGGGTACCCCCATTTTGCCACCCCCTACCCCATTTTGCCCCCCCCCCCCTTCTCCCCTAATAAGCTTATAATTAATAATGAATAAAGTGTTTCATTATTCAGAAGAGAAAATAAATCAACGGTAATCATCAAAATTGTGTGGTTATGAATGAAAATAAAGTTATTTTTCATAAAAAAAAATGTGTCTGATAATAAACACTCAAATAAACAATAAATATGAATTTTTACCGCAATTTTAATTTAAAAATTCAAATAAAAACTTATACAATACACGTAAAAAATAACTCGAGTAAACAAAAACTTAAACTTGAAATAACATTATTCCAGTGCAGCCCTGTAGAATTCTAACTCAACATTTACCCCGAAATATATTTAAGCCGGCATATAATTTAAATTTCCTCAAAAGATAAAAACATCCAACTTTTGTAGTAAGTTAAAAAACGGGAGTATACTTGTGCTGTAGGTTTTAATACTTATAACTCGGTACAAGTTACAGCGGGTGGATGAGCGTTATGTGAGAAGCTTTTCGTGAGACTATCGCTGCGGTTGGCCGAGCCCGACGTTGACCTCCTTCACTGAAACTGCGGTACAGTCGTTCGCTAATCCGCGAAACGTTTCACCAACTTGCTGCTCCCTGCCGTAGCTAACTGCGTTCCTTCTCTTACTTACTCCTAACCCTCACCTTTACTATCACTCCAACTCCGATTCCAACTCAGCTTCAACTTACCCCCCTCCACTCCCTACAGTGCACGATGTTACCTTCAATGTTATAATGCTATGCCGACCAAAAGTTTGTTTTACTGTTCAGTTAAATACAAAAGCAGCTATACAACATACACCACTACAATTACAAGTTACATTTACAGATATAAATACCCTCGGCTAGTATTAACTCTTACAGAAATTAATTCGTGAGTTTCCTAATGCCAAGGAACTCACCGCATGCGTTACATATGTGACGGTCTCTGCACTTTCACCACACTATAAATATATCTCTACACAAGTTATTTGATTCGTGAAATATCAAATTGCTTCCACTCTTAAATCGATTTAGTATATATTTTCACTATTTCATACTGAGATACATGTAAGTGATATACATTGCCCATCGAAATAGTAAATATTAGGGTGTGCTACAAAAATCAACGATTTTTTTTTTTTTCCAAAAGGTCTTGAAATTTTGATAAAGGATGAAAAAATAAAAATTCTATTAAAATTTGAGCCTTTAATTTTAATATTTAGATGTCCTAAATAGAAATTTTTCTTTTTCCATTTAAGGTAGTACCCTCGCCAAAGTCGTTTTCTTAAGATTTTTTTTTAATTTTGGCAGATTAATGTTCATATAATTCTGCGACGATTGGCGCAATTTGAGAATTTTTGACCATCTATTTTTCGAGATATTTAATTTCAAAGTTTGAGTTTTGAACGCTCTTATACATTACAGTATACGGGATATCGAAAAATTTACCTACAAACATTTTTATATCTCAGAAACTTTTCTTAGGATCTTTTTAAATAACTAGAGTAACGTTAACTAACAACTAAACAATTTAAAAAAAAAAATTCATTGATAATTACCACACAGTTTCAGAGATATTTATTAATAAGTAATGAAAAATTTACCAGACTTTAGCCGAGGAGCTTTGCTAAATATTATTAATATTTAGCAAAAAGTTTTAGACTTGTCAATAATGAATATCCGGTATGTGTACCGTACACTCTAGCATAAACTTTTGACGACGGAAGTCGCGAAGGTAATACCTTAAATAACACATGAAAAAATTTTTTTAATTTAAAAATTTTTTCCTGTCTCCATTTTGAAATTTTGAATAGCGTGAGAATGTTTTTGTCGGGAATTTGACGACAAAGAAAGTCTCTTACAAGTTTTTGATAAATCAACTCCTTCAAAGGTTATTTGAGATTAAAGTTAAGTTCCTGATAAATTTTAAGATTTTTTTAATTTTCCAGCAAAACTACCAACTTCATCGAAAAATGTTACTGGACTTTTGTTTAGATCATATAATTCAAGGATTTTATACGTATATTCACAAACTTATCAGTGATTTTCATATACGGCTAGCTGTTCAAAAATAAGCTTTAAAAAATATAAGTTAAAAAAAAAATATACTATTTATTGTATACTTAGACACTCCAATACTCAGATTACATTTGTACATTTAATTTCAATTCATCAATATTTATACAAGCTTTTTATATTTTTGTTTCAGGTAAGGCTGCTCAAATTTGCCAAAATTTTCACACGAAAAATTTACCCACAAAAAAATTTACAAGTATGTATTAATTATTAAACAAAAAACTAAAACGTTTACAATCATAAGAATCAAAAATGTCTGGTGGTAGCAGGAACATGTAAAGTTGTGCAAAGTTAAGCGATTCTAGTGGATGATCCGTATATCTATATACATATGTAAATATAATAGCAGAAGTCTTTTTGCAGGCAATGAGCCTGGCAACGATGAAGCAACTTTATACAATACTTCCGTGATCTTTTACTTGGTTTCCTCTATTTTGTATTCAAGATTGTTCCTCAGCCAATTGCACAGCGCACTTGACTCAACTTTCTTTTGAGTCTATATAGTATATAGATAAATTGCATCTATATTGCATATAGATAAATTTAAATACCTACAGATGTGTATGTATACACGAGGGTTTGTTTGTGTGACAATGTCAATATACAACACGCGAGAATCCGATTTGATCTGTCTTGAGAATTATCGAGGCCATTCACAAAGCAATTGCGTGGCTGCAACAAACTTTCATTGGTAATTCCATTGGAGTTTAACCTGTTGCTTTATACGACATTGTAGACTTTATTTTGTCATTCTTTATTTATCCTTAGTCTTGAATATATGTATAAATTGATTTCTTATGTGATGACGACATAAATCCGGCCTATTTGTTTCTTTTTTGCAAATTATTATTTTTATTATTCCAATTCATTTTTAAAATTGTTTAAATACTAGGACCTACATTGAAGTGATACTTAACTAGTAACATTGTTAATTATTATTATTATTATTATTATTTATTTATTTATTTAATTGGCCATGAAGTCGAAACTCCTTGCGGCCATCCAAAATTGATACAAAAAATTTTTAATATAATATATAAAGTAGTGTATTAAGTAGTATATATAAAGTATATATATAAAGTAGTATAAACAATGCAGTGTGTTAAACACTCAGTCACTCAATCACTCAGTCTTCACTAAATTCGAAAACAATGAATACATACTATGATCTATCAGATTGTAAAAAATATTCATAACAAGCAATTCGAAACTCCATAAACGTTGGTAACGTCGTACAATCAGCTGGTAATTGATTCCAGATTTTAAAATCAGATATCAAGAATGATTTTTCATACTTCGCTGAATGATAAACCGATAACTCAAGATAGTTTTGACGAATATCTCCTCGACGTAAGCGAGGCTCAAGAATTTCTGTCTCGCCTAATTAGAGGCTTTTGATTAAGATACAATGCTTTATAAATAAGACACGATAAGAAAAATTTACGCCTAGAACTAAGTTTCAGCCAACGAAGCTCAGTATAATATTGAGTTACATGTTCATACTTTGATATTTTAAAAATGTATCGTACACAAGCATTTAATTTTCTCTGAAGTCTAATCTGTTGTTGACCTGTAATATCAGTATAAATAGCTGCGCAATAATCAAAAATAGGATAAATTAGAGTAGTGACCAATCTTTCCCTAACAAACAATGAGAAAACATCTCCATTCATCTTTAACTGTGCAAGTACTCTCATGCTACTTTTGCAAACCTCAGTAATTTGTAAGGACCAAATTAGAGTATCTTGAAGTATGACTCCTCGATAATTTACTGATTTACAATAGTCAACTATAGTATCATTTACAACTATATTTGGAATCACTTCACACTGAACATCGGCCAATTTTTGTGCTGATCCAAAAATCACTGCCTTTGTTTTGTTAGGATTTAGTTTAAGACCGTTTATAATACACCACTTCAGAATTATAGCAATTTCCTCATTCAGAATTCTTACAGAGCTTTCTATATCACAAGGTTTACATGTTAAATAGACAACTAAATCATCAGCATAAAACAAGTGCTTAAGTAATACACCCAAATCTGTAATATAAATGGAATAAAGTAGTGGTCCAAGGACACTGCCCTGTGGAACACCACTCGAAATTTCTTTCCAGTCTGATATACCAGAATTATCAATTCGAATTGCTTGCAGCCTATCTTTTAAGTATGATACAATCCAATCAATAGCTAGTGTTCCGTCGTACGATTAGTTTTATTAGAAAAATTTAAATTAATTAAACAATTTTATATTTTTTATTCTATAGTCAAAATTATTATTTAAATAGGTAAATAATATATTTTATTTTAAATTCAAACCCGTATTCTTAAGTATTTTAAGTTATCTAGAAAAAAAGGTTCATTCATTTGTTCAACTTTATTTATGAGTGTAAATTTCCCAGTCTATGCATTGCAATAGCAGTTTAGACAAATTTTTGCCTTTTTATATTCTTGTTATTTTCTAGCTTTAGAATAGAAAATGAATTTTTAATGCTAATTTTTGGGATATCTTCTTAAATAATTTTTAATCTGCTTATGGTCATAAACTTGATACCTGGGTTATATTACTCTGGGTTTTTACTCTTGGTAAATTTTGTATTTTTAATCTTTTAATTGCTAACTAAGTTTAGAAATATTTTCTGTAAACGTATCGCCCATCCAGGTAAGAATCTTAGCATCCCTATTCCCTTTCCTACTTATTTTTCAAAACTGCATAGTTTGCAACTATCCCGCCTCCAAATTATTTCCTCGTTAACTATTCGTTACCAAATATTCCTACTCCTAATTTTTTCTGCTTGTACTTGTAACGCCTAGTTTTTACTCTCCTTGTAACAATTTTTGTATTTTCTCTAAGTTAGTTAAACTTACATACTTTGTAGCGCACAGTCGCATTTCTTTACTTTAAATAAATTAAAGATAAACTCAACCTCATGGTTTTTTACTCAATGCAACATCTATTATTAGTCTTGCATTTATTAATTGTGAACTAAACTTTTATTCACAATTTATTTGAATAACTCATTTATTTGGTATAAAATATAAGCTTTAATTTTATACGTAACATTTTATATACTTGCGGTAAACCAATCGCGAGTCAAAACAGCTAGATCTCCAAAACCTATAGCTTTTAATTTAAATATTAAAATCTTATGCACAACAGAGTCAAACGCTTTGCTGAAGTCGAAGAATACAGCAATAGTAATCATTGTGTTATCAATGTTAATAATTGACAAATATTATTTTAAAGTTCTGGACTTCTGCTAAGTAAGTTGTAGTATTGAATTACTAAAAGCAGCTTTAAATATTCAATAAAAACGAATTTATTATCCAAACTGATCTGTAAGCTTCGATACGAAAATTAATTTTGAAATTGATTACGTTATTATCTATTAAAATGCAAGTATAAGTGATTGCTCAAAATAGCTAAACATTTGGGTTAATTGACCCCCATGAAAAAAAAAATATAAAAAAAATATAAATCGAAATATATAAAAAATATATTTTAAATATATTAAAAATCTATAAAAAATATATAAATATATAAAAAATATATATAATAAATATATTTTTAATAACTAACTTTTGGCCGATTTTCATATATGTTTTATATATTTTAAATATATTTTAGATATATTCAAGATATAATTTGAAATACATAGCTAAAAATATAAAAAAAATACATAAAAAATACATAGCTAAAAATATAAAAAAAATATATTTTGAATATATTTGAAATATATAAAATATATATTAAAATCGGCCAAAAATTAGTTATTAAAAATATATTTATTATACATATTTTTTATATATTTATATATTTTTTATAGATTTTTAATATATTTAAAATATATTTTTTATATTTTTTTTTCATGGGGGAATGCATATAATCTACTCAATACTGGTTCAATTTTTAAGTATCTTTGGAACAAGTTACGATCAATTTAAATATAAATATATAGTTCAATATACCATGTATAAAAGTACATTTTCATGCTTCATACAGTTATTTAATATTCGAATTTTACATGTCAAACTTGTCAGCATTAAGTATTAAAAGTAAGTTTAAATAACCTTTTTGTTAATTCTTAGCTTGAAATTTGCTAGATGACATTTATGTGTCCCCGTGTAAAAAAAAATCTTCTTAAAATTGTCTTAAAATTGTCGTTCGTTTAAGATCTTAAACGTGACACAAACTAAGACTATTTTAAGGCTCTTTTAAGATGCCAAAAAAAAACATTCCGAGATTTTTTAACAATTATTTTGATTTTTTTAAGACTATTTTAAGATTTTTTCAAGACGATTTTAAGATTTTTCTAAGACTATTTTAAGATTTAAGTTTTAAAATAATTTTTATTATAAATGTTAAAACAACAATTTCAGAACCAAAATACTGAATTAAAAATACCTATTAACACTATTTTATAGGCAGTGAAACTAATTGGTAATTACTGAGATTGAAAAATAATAAAAATTTAGTTTTAGGTAACTTTCAATTCAAAAATGTATTTATGGTTTTATTTACTAGTTTCAACGGTTGATACATTTGTGAAACATAAATTTATATGTATTAAACCGGGAGCAAAGTTTATGCTGAAAATGAAAAGACCATAAAGTAAACGTCCAGTTTATTTAACTGTCCATCCAACTAGCTAACGTAACTACCACCTAAATTGAGTTCGGTTACATTCAATGTTAATTCAATCGGATATGTGTTACCGTTTGGTTCCACTCGTATTCTACGCGGTGACTGATTGAAAAGCTTGGCTTAACTATAACTTTCAATTTAAACTAAAGTTGCAAAAACATCACTCTTATAGTTTTTTTTTTTTTTTTATTGAAACGAAAATACAGACCTTCCGGAAGTTTCAGACTAACAAATTTTTTTTTATTTTTCCTAGTTTTTAATTAAATTTTTTAATTCCTAATGGACTCACTTCTATGCAATTTTATGTATACAAATTGAATAAAACCACTTTCATTATTCTCTACAAAAGGTACTTTATATTCAATAATATTACTATATTCAATCAATGAAACAACTACAAATTTAGATAAATATTTTATATGGGTCGTCAATAGATTTGGACACTAAAAAAATATTATTTGATTCGAGAAAAATATTCTTATAAAATTTTTTATTAATTTATTCGTTCTAAGCTTATTGAAGAGGATTACATTTTTACAGCCATTAAAAACAATAGCTTTACAAAATACATTGCACTTAGTTAAAATAACAAATATTAACATTAATTTTATCTAATATTTATTTTCTTCTTCAAATAAGAATAATTATATAACGGTTAGTTAAATTTTTCAAATTTCCCAATCAAAACATTTAATATTTACTTACTTAAAACTCAATCTATATTGTGCATGCATGCATATTATCTAAATTTTATTGAAGAATCGGGTTTTTTTTTATTTTGTTAAGGGTACATTAAAGATTATTACCCTAAATTTTTATTAAAAAATATTTAATTATTACAAAGTTATTAACAATCTCGTCGAACACTGGAGAAAATTTCCCCCCTCCACGGTCGGTTCGATAACTCAAAAACAGATCATCTGAAAATAAAAACCCAAATTGCTTTTTAATCAGTAAAGATGTAGTTATCATCGCACGTACGGAATTTGAAAAATTTTTATTTTAAAGATTTTTTTAGCCGGGTTAAAACAAAAAAAAACAGTAAGAATAGTGAGAAAATTTTCAATCAATCGCCATTTTTTAAAAAATTAAAATTTTCAAAATT